GTTGCCATGTATCTTGGCACCAATCTTTGCCTGGGTCTAGGAGTTTGTTAGGGCAGGGATTCTAGGACCAATGGACACATTCAACTCCTTGTTGGTTGCTATGTTAGAGCAGGGAACTGCTGTCTTTGAGTGAAGAAGCACTGTTTGGAATGCTTGACTTAGTGTTATTGGAAATTAGTCTTTGCTTTGAAGTGATTGAACCAACCCCCATACAAAACAAAGTTTTGAACAGAATTTAAATAGTTGCAAAGGCTATCAATCATGCAGTCCACAGGCTATGAATGAGATTTGTTTTCGTATCTTTAATAATATGAACTCGTTCTCCTCAATTTAATCAGAGTTGAAGAAGCATCTCTAGAAAGGGATATAGAAATTTACACATAACCTAGCAACCCAACCTCTTGATTTCTAGATTTTGAGGAGAATCGGAAGCGATGTTGACCCTCTCAAAGATGGTGATGTACCATGCAAACATGGAAGTGGCTTGCTCAGAGATGATGGCCAATGTTAGTTGCTCTCCAGCAGTTCTATCAAGGGTCTAATGTCACATAGTAGGCTCCTGAAAAAGCTCAGTATGTCTATTCCAAGTATTCAATTCCAATCCTTTGATCAGTCATTTTCACTAGGCTAAACCTGTCACATTGTACAACTTTGGTTCTATTTCTCGTTTTTTTTTTGTTGGCCATAACGAAGCTGACTCAAAAGACAAGTAGGGCATGTTTATAAATCAGGACACTACTCCCCTAAGGGGTGCTAATACCCTACATAAGAACCGTATACACCTGGTCCAATTGACCTACACATTCTTGAGCTATAGCATGTGACTCAGGGGCTGCCTGTATTTATATTAAAATTTTAAATTATCATTATAAAAGTATTGTTGACTTCCTAAAATTTACCTAGTTTCCCACTCATTGGTAGCCATTTCATGCCATGATTTAGCATTCTTTTGCTTATAAACTTTATTCCTTTCTTGATTAATTTTAGGATATTTCAATGGCTACAGGTTATTGTTGTCAGATGTCACCTGTTGGGTTCTGACTCATAGTGCCCCTATGTGCAAGACAATGAAACATTGCCTGGTCATGCCCCATTCTCACAGCTGACTGAGCCCATGATTGTGGCCAAGTGTCAGTTCATCTTCTTGAAGGTTTTACTCTTTCCTCTTCTTTACTAAGCAGGATGTTCTTTTCCAGCATCTGGTTTCTGTAGGTAGCATGACTTTACTTCACCCAAGACAGATGTGTTCATTCTTCTGACAGTCCGCAGAACTTGTAATATTTTTCACCAGCACCATAATTCAAATGCATCGATTTGTCTTTTGTCTTCCTTATTCATTGACCAACTTCCCTTGCAATGAGCACTGGTTGTGGATGCAAGTGTGATGAAATCCAGAACAGCGTCAATCGTTCCTGTTTATCATAGTGGTGTCAATTGGCCCAGTTGTGAGGATTTTGGATTTCTTGATATTGAATTGTAATCCCTCCTAAAGGCCGCAGTTTTGATCTTCATCAGCAAGTGCATCAAGTCCTCCTCACTTTCAGCAAGCAAGGTTGTATCATTGTACGTATCACAGGTTGTTCATAAACCTTCTTTCTATTTAAAAAAATACTTTTTTAATCATTTTATTAGGGACTCATACAACTCATCACAATCCATACATACATCAATTGTGTAAAGCACATTTGTACATTCATTGCCCTCATCATTCTCAAAACATTTGCTCTCCATGTAAGCCCCCGGCATCAGCTCATCATTTTTTCCCCTCCCTCCCCCGTAAACCTTCTTTCAAGCCTACTACAGAATATACCTGCTGCAAAGTGTTTCCATCGTGGCAATCTTTCTCTCATAGAGTGCCTGGTCATAGTATTCATGTAAATTATGAAAAAAACTTCTCAAGTTGTCCCTTTCTAAATGCCTTTTCTGCTACTAATGTCCCACACTATTTAAATTTTGCTTCTGGTCCATAACTTTAATTTGCTTCCAATGTTTTATCTTAATATATTACCATTTTTTCTTAGATTTAAGGATTTTAAAAAGTTCTATTGGATATTTTCTGTGCTTTTCTAAGATAACAAGAATATTATATAAATGTTTCCTGGTTCCTGTAGTTGGTTACACATTGGGCTGCTAAATTAGAGGTTAACAATGCACAACCACCAGCTGCTCCACAGGAGAAAAACAAAACTGTATACTCTCATAGAGAGTCACAGTCCTGGAAACCCTTAGCAGCAGTTCTACTGTGTCCTGTAGGGTTGCATTGACTCATAATAGACTGGCTGATAGTGAGCTTAGAATATTTCAAGTGAGCAGAATTGTGTCTGTTTCATGAATTACATGAGTGCTCTCTATTGCTTTTCTTAATCTAGCTTGCTTTTGCTGATTTCTGGGTGGCTCAATGTCTTTTGAGATATTTATAGAAAGCTTACAATAAACTGTAAGATCTACCTACTATTTACAAAAAATTTAATTCCATCTTTTAAAATTGCAATATGGTTGTTAGTGATCTATATGAAGAGGTTTAAGAAAAATTTAAAAAATAAAAATAAAAGGCTGACATACATGGTTACTTATGTGAATGATGATGTTCCTAAACTTTTTTAGAAGCACTAACATATGTAATACTTCTTATATAATTCCTGGTTATTATATTGTAGTCGATTTACAAGCTGAAAGTCAACTAGCTTAAATCTAGTTTAGAATCTTGTAAACTTTATTTTTGTACAATAATGCAAATTTATTTTGAAAGTTGAAATATTAATTATAGTATTTTAGACATGTTACTAAACCTCTGCCTTCTCTTCTTATTTACAAAACCATTGAAAAATCAAGTCACTGTACTGGTAGTTGTGACTTTGTGTATTATAATGAGATGCCAAAAAAATCTATTGCTGTTAGTATAGTATCCTGAAAGCCTGCCATTTACCTGCCATTGCCTATTCAATTTCAATTATTCAACATAGAATTCAGTGGAATTTTCTTTCTACATGATTTCATTTGGGGGCTTTATTTCTAACAAACTCTAGCTTAGAATGACTAATCCTCCTATTCTGTTTTTGGAAAAACATTTTTACTTATAGAAAAATGTGTAATCAGTAGGAGCATTTAAAAGTTGTGTGTCACTAGTGAGTGAGAACATTCTTTTTCCATAGGTGACTGACAATGATGGATTTTCTAAATCCATATTTCAGTAAGGGTGCCTGGGTTAGATACAGTTTTTCAGATTTATGAGAGAATTGGAGAAACAAGACCTTATGATCTTGAGCTATATTCAGGGAAAAAAGTTTGAGATCTATAAGACTACTTAGCACTTGACAATATTGTGAAGGATGATTGATAAGTACTTTGGGAGTTGCCTCATTGCTTACCACAAATAAGAGGAAAAGGATGAGCAAAGGAGAGTAATCATTAAATTTAATCTCTTTTCTTAATCAGAAAAAGAAGTTATCTTTCAGGAATATGCTTCCTTTAATTTTTTATTGTGAAAACATAAATTATAGGGCTATTCTAAGCTTGGAGGGGACATGTTTCAAAAATATAATTTATTGAGGTATCATTTATATAAAATAAAATCCATATCTTTTACGTAAATAGATCTAATAAAAACTATGTAACTTTAGACAAGTCACTACACCTCTACTTTCCATTCTTATTTATAAAACCAGAGACAATCTATAACAACTATAAATTACTTAGTTGCTATTTAATTCTTGTATTGAAAAATCAAGTCAATGCCCTGGTAATAGTAGTCTTTGACAAATGTATATATCAAAATTTAATCACGACCCAAACCAATATGTAGAACATGTGCATATTGTAGAGGTAATTTTAAGTATGTCACCATTTTGAACAAGATTGAAGTGCTGTTAAAAAGGAGAAAAATTATATTAGTAGGAAATAGGCAGTGTCTGTCACATAAATGATAAATATAATGTGCTTAAATCATAGTTTAGAAAAGGGAAATTGGAAAAAGGAAACACTTATAGGTGGGAGAAGACCTTAACTTCATCTTAAAACATCAACTGAGGCAAGATTCCTAGATCAATTTTAGTCTTAATTTTCCAATTAAAAAAGACAAAAAACCTTTAAGAAAGTTCTTGAATGTACCAAAAATAATTTTGAGGATCAAATGAGATAATTTATATAAATGCATATTGAGATCTTCAAAGCCCTACTCAAATATAGAAAAGTATCCTTATTTTTCCCTTGATCAAAGGTGTTTCCTTTTGAAAATGACAAGGAACATAATTTACTAGTCTAAAATATCATGATGATGAGATTAAAAAAATACTTATAAAATATATGAACTCTTTAATTTATTAATGGCCTGTGAATTTTGGCAATAAATTGCTCCAGGCAGGTGTCAGTCTTATCAGTTCTTTTTCCAATTATGCATCTTTCAATTAGTAAAAATAGATCAAGTCTAATTTCTTGAAGTATCAGTATATTGTATACATATATGACACATTTTTAGGTTACTGCCCATTTATTGTATAATGCTTAGAAAAGTAATTCCTCCTAGCTTTCATTTCACGAGAATGATCCATTTCATGCTGAAAAGCTGCAGCTTGGTGAAAACAAGTAATGTTGAATTTTGGTGGGTGCTAAGAGAGCACTACTTGTTCTCTATTTTGGAATTCCCCACTTGGAGTCCGTTGTAAAAAGTTAAAATCAAGACCTGTTGTGAATGCGGGGGACTCTGTTGAGCTAGAGCCCTTGATCATTTCCCATGCAGAATCTACAAAGGTGTGCTCATTTTGCAGTGTTCTGAGAGGTTTGTAAGAGTACTACTCCAAAATAACACATCTTGCTAAAACGTTGCCCTTTCCTATAGATATTTATCATAGTAAGTGTCAGCCAATACTGGCATTTGTTGAAAATAAATATATTTGGTTATCCAGGATACATGTATCCTCTGGCTTAGAGCCTTTTAAAAATGTTAAATTAATTCTTACTATTTTCTCTTAAAGTCTTTGTTATCTTGTTCATAAAATCTCCAGGTTGGATTCAACACTAGCTTTGTTGGTTCTTGGAGAGGCTTCTAAATTAAACATGGTCTGCTTAAAAGCCTTGATGGATCTAATAAGAGATTTTATTTCAAACATTATTTCTGCTCAAAATCAGGTAAGAGAACTACAAATTTACATGTGAAAAGAGACTTGGATAAAAACAAGACTTATTTCTGCAACTACACATACTCCTAGCTACATGATTAGGTTTCAGGTAGGTAATTATGCAAAAACTGGTTTTATGCTGGAGGATGACCATATCAGATCACAACAGAGAGGAAGGATTACATCATTACATCACTACCAAGTTACATCATTGCATACTACCTACCAATTTCTATCATTGTACAGAGAATCACCCAGCTAAGTCAATGGAAAACTTTAACTCTCTCAGCCAGTGTTACTCTCACCTCATACTTCAACCTCAGTTATCATATACATGTTATAAATGCATAAAAGAGTCGGTAGATTTCTTATTGTTGTTGCCAAAGTGGAATGTCAGATAACAGCAAATAAATGAAGAGTAAGTATATTTAAATGGTGTATCATACCAAGGTATATTAAGATAATAAGTTTGTAATATAATTCTAATTGAATAAAATTAAATGTACATTATGAAAATATAAAAAGATTTTGTAAAGAAAAGATAATTCCTTTTTGAGTGTCAGTTTGTGTGTGTATATATGCATATATGTAGAGCAATTAATTTGCATTTATGAAGTTAAAATCATATAGTGACATGTAGCTTTTATCTTCTTTTAAAGATGTATATTATAAACATATTTCATTGCCTTTAAATATTATGTTTTAATTGGATTAAAATAATTTATTTCATGATTTATCTATTGTAGAGAATTTTTACAGTTAATTACAAGTAATTTTCAATGAATATGTTCATACATAATGTTTTTATCTGCATTTCACATTATCTCTTTAGAATAGAGTCATGAAATCAAATTACTAAGTGTAAATAAATTATGAACTTTCTTTCAATATTCTGAGGACCGATGTCCAATGCACCCTTTAGAAGTTGTTTTCTTAATTCATCTGATATAGGTATGAAATTGCTATAAACTAATTTTAATTGAGCTCTATCAGAGAAATTCTTTTTTAATGTAGTATGGAAAATAGTGTCCCATTGTATTAATTTACATGCCATTGATTACTAATAAAGTAGAAAAGTTGCTATATACTAAATAGCTATTATATTCTTTATTCTTGGTATTGAATTTTTATGCAAAATGCTCACGGTAAACCTATTTTTAATGAGTACCTCTTAGGAATATTAGTTTACTATGGTCTTTAGCAACTCCATAAAATTTAAATATATTTCTCATTTTAAGTACACAATATAATTCTTACTGATGGCAGTGTATACTTAGACCTAAGAGCTATTTTCTCATTTCAGGAAGAAAGCTACAAGGACAATAATATTGTCTGGGCCTGGAATATAGTCTACACATATATAACAATTATGGCAGAAATCTGTTTATATGCAGCCACTTCTAATTTGCGGAAAACTGCTTTTACTGGTTTCTGTGCTTGTGAAAGCAAACAGAAACATATCTTACACATAGGAAACAGAACAGAAGATGGACCAGTATTAAGGGAAGCCAGTGTTTTAGGTCTCTTGAAATATTTCTCTTCAAAAATATCAGATAATTGTAAGTAACATTATTTTTATGACTTGATGAGTAATAGTTTAAAATGTCCCTTTTTATATGTATCTCTTTTTTAAAGGTTGTAGGACTTTTTAATTTAATAGGACTTTTCAGAGTGGGAAATGATTTAAAATTTAATAGGACTTCCTAAGAATTAAAAAATGCATATTTTAGTTCACGAGTTTGTGTCCCCTCCACCTCTATAATTTCAAAACCACCAAATTAGGTACTCCAAACCAGACTCACTACCATCGAGTTACTGCTGACTTGCAGAAACCGTATAAGAATGAGTGCAGTTACCCCTTTGGGTTTCTGAGGCTGTAGACTCTATGGGAGCAGAAAGCCGCATCTTTCTTCCACAGAGAGGTTGATGGGTTTGAACTGCTGTCCATTCAATTAACAGCATAACCCACTACCACTGTGGTAGTTACATAATCTGTTGTCAATTTGGGAATGAAGAGTGAAGGGCTAGAATTTAGCCTGTTAAACAGGTTGCAGCTTGATGACCTCATTTGGAGGCGCTAAGGAGCAAATTGCTCGTTGGAGGTGGGACACACGTTCACTTCCTGTGGACAAGACACATGGAACTATGTTACAGCCCTGGAGCTGAAGGAGCCATGTGGAAACCCCTGTCAGCGCTCAGAGGCTTCTACCGTCACTGGATCCACTACGGTCATTGAAACATATACCAGATGCAGTTAACTTACTATTCAAATGATATTATTTGAAAAGAAGAAATGACCTTTGTAAAATTGTGAAAAAGCAAAAAAAAAAAAGTTTTTTTCTTAATTTGAGTTTTTTTTCCCACAATGGACTTCTCTTTTCTTCCCCTTTTACTCTAGTCATCTACTATTTCCCTCTTGTTTAGAGGCTTCTCTGGAATCATTCACTCAAATATTGTATTGCATTCTTCGTATTTGTCATAATATCACAGAAAATTGTTTTGAAGTTGACAGCACCTGTAGGCTTGTGAACGTTGGTTATCAAGGTAGACTGGTGTGCATTTTGAGAAGTGATGCAAAGAATCTCGGAGCTTCAGCTTTCCTTAGTTAAAAAACATGTTTCATGATCTTACTTTTCAAGTAAGTAATTCCTTTTTATGGAGTGAAAGAGCCAGCTCTGAAGTTGTCCAGACCAGTATTTTAATTCTGTCACTAGGACTTGGGAATTGTAGGTCAAAGTTTTTAAATTTGACAAGTTTTGCTCTTTATCTAATAATTATAATGAAAATATTATCTATATCATATAAGTAAATGCATGGAAATATAGAAACACTTAGCATAACACCTAGTGCTTACTGAAATGCCAATAAATATTAATAGATGTTATGACAATTCATGTAGGATTTAAAAAAAATCATTTTATTGGGCCTCATACAACTCTTATCACAATCCATACATACATCCATTGTGTCAAGCACATTTGTGCATTTGTTTCCCTCATCATTCTCAAAACATTTGCTTTCTACTTGAGCCCTTGGTATCAGCTCTCATTTCCCCCCCCTCCCTCCCCGCTGAACCCTTGATAATTTATAAATTATTATTATTTTGTCATATCTTACATCGTCTGACATCACCCTTCACCCACTTCTCCACTGTCCGTCCCCCAGAGAGGAAGTTATATGTAGATCCTTGTAATCGGTTCCCCACTTCTACCCCACCTCCCCTCCACCCTCCCGTTTTCACCACTCTCACCACTAGTCCTGAAGGGTTCATCTGTCCTGGATTCCTTGTGTTTTCAGTTCCTATCTGTACCAGTGTACATCCTCTGGTCTAGATGGATTTGTAAAGTAGGGTTGGGATCATGATAGTGGGAGGGAGTAAGCATTCAAGAACTAGAGGAAAATTGTGTTTCATCATTGCTACACTGAACCCTGACTTGCTCGTCTCCACCTCGTGGTAGTTTTTAATGCTATTATTAAAATTAGAAAACACAAGTTAATTGGAAAGAAAATAAAATGCTAATATGTATTCCTATGTACAACATATATCCTGGGAAATTTAAGTTTACTTATATGTAAATATATAAATAGCACAGAAAAACATTTAAAAATTTTTAAAAGGAGTCAAATAGTGGTTTTTTTTTTAATTAATCATTGTATTGGTGGCGCTTACAAATCTTATAACAATCCATCATTCAATTGTATTTAGCACACTTGTGCATATGTTGCCATCAACATTTCCAAAACATTTTTTTTTTCTACTTGAGCCCTTGGTATTGGCTCCTGTTTTTACCTCTCCTTCCCCATCTCTCCCACCCTCATGAACCCTTGTCAAACAGTGTTCCTTTGGACCATTCTTTTTTGTTGTTGTTTGTTTTTTCTTTTTTAAAAATCATTTTATTAGGGGCTCATACAACTCTTATCACAATCCATACATACATCAATTGTGTAAAGCACATTTGCACATTCATTGCCCTCATCATTCTCAAAACATTTCCTCTCCACTTAAGCCCCGGCATTAGGTCCTCATTTTTCCCCTCCCTCCCCGCTCCCCCCTCCTCAGGAGCCCTTGATAGTTTATAAATTATTATTTTGTCATATCTTGCCCTGTCCTTTGGAACATTCTTATATAAATCTTAAATGTGAAGAAATAATTTAAATCATAGTTTTGTACGGTGTTTAAGGACTTTCAGGAAGAACTTGCATTTGTTAGTGATCTCATCTAACACAAGCAGGGCTTAACAAATCTAGAAGATTTGTTTCAAATAAAATTTACTTATAAAGACAATTGTCTATTGATTCAAGAGTGAGGTCTCTAGTCAATAACTGAAGTGCTAATTTCTGGTGGGTTGATTTAATATTGATTTATATGTATGTTTATAAATACAAAATATGCACTTAACATTTGGTTCCAACTTAAAGAATCTGACATGTATTATTCCTTTTATTGACCATCCTACTCATTTGCCAATGAAATTAAACTCCAAGTCAGTTTGAGAATTTTTGTGTGTCTGAAATACTAGCTTTTGCATCAAGAAGAGATGATATTTAACTGGAATTTTAAGAAGAAAAATGATTTAAAAAAAATTTTAGACGCAGAAGTTTTGCTTTGTTGTAATTGTTGAATCAATTCTGATTCACGGCGATGCCATGTGTTCTAGGATAGAATTCCACCCCTCGGCTGGCTGTAATCTTCATAGGAGCAGATAGTCAGGCCTTTTCCTCCATGGTAGGGTCAAGTGGGTTAACTGCTAACCTTCAGGCTAGCAGCCAAATGAAAACCAATTTCCATTGCAATTATGGTTTTGAGAAACCTGGAGAAAATAAAACCAAATCAAACCCATTACCATTGATTCTGATTCACAGTGATCCTAAAGGACAGAGTAGAATTGCTTGGCAGAAGCAGACAGCCTCGTCTTTCCCTTTAAGAGCAGGTGGTGAATTTGAACTGCTGACCTTTTTGTTAGCCGCCCAATGTTTAATTTGCTGTACCACCAGGTCTCCTCTTGGATGTCACTGCCACTCTCACTGCCATCGAGTCAATTCTAGTTTGTGGGGACCTGATAGGACCAGGTAGGACTGCCCCAGTCAGTTTCTGAGACTGTCACTTTCTACAGAATCAAGAGTCTCATTTTTCTTCTGCTGAATGGCTGGTTCCAAAACGCTGACCTTGTGGTGAGCAGGCTAACATGTAACATTGCAACCACCAGGGTTTCACTTTCTATGATGTGGTCTTGTTATCATGCTTAATGAATTAGTTAATATATATTAAATGCATAGTAAGTACTCAAATATTAACTATTATTATCTATTTAATGGCTTATAGAGAATAATAATAGCTAATTTTTAGTGAGCACTTATTTTTTGACGTATTAACAAATTCATTAAGCATGATAACAAGACTATAGCATAGATATTCATATTATCCCTATTAATATATGAGAGATCTGAGGCACTAAGAACTTATTTTCCCAAGGAAATAATAGTTGAATAGGGGGTTAATTAAGCTAGGCAACCTCACTTCAGAGTCCAAATTGTTAATTGTGTTGTATTGTTGGCTTTACTTGATTAACTGACCTATTGAATAGATTCGTTTAGAATTATGCATCTATATGTTCAAGAATGACCCTAGTAGCATGGTGGGGTATGTGTAAGGTTAGCGGCTAGAAATCTCCAAGCACTCTGTGGGTGAAAGTTGAGGTTTTCTACTTCTGTAAAGAGTTATAGGCTTAGAAATCTAGTGGGGTATTTCTACCCTCTGTTATAAGGTCACTGTGAGTCTGAATCTACTTGATGACCGTGAATTTGGTTTTGAATTTTGGGTTATTTTGAAGAGTGTGAAAAAAGCTGATTTGGAGATATTCTCTGATAGTCATTAACCTATAAACAGTATTTTCAAAACTAGCGCCACAGACGGGTCCTTATTTGCAAGGTAAACTCACGAGCCCTGCTCTAAAACTGCTGTGTAGACATTCTAAAAGTGGAGTCCAGCAATCTGTATTATTGAAATGCTTCCCACATGACAGTTTGAGAAAATCTAGCCTTTCAGTTTAGCTCTTGGACATGTTAGTAAAATCCTGAGGGGCTTCAAAAGGTTTGTGGAGAAATAGAATGAAAGGATGCTGGAATTTTTCCACAAACAGTTTGAAGCCTCCTTGTATTGTTGTCATCATAGAGGAAAATAATCTATTTGTTGTTACAGACCTCTAGGACTCCAGCCAGTTTGTTTTCTGTTCAATGATTTGCCTATTTTCATCTGATCTTTGAGACCATCTCCACTAGTCAGATTCTGCTTGAAATGTAACAAGATGTTGAACACCTATTCAATGTTTTAAGCTTGTGAAAGATGCTTCTCTGCCTATCTTAAGTCATGGCGTGAATGCAAACAAACAAGCCAAATGAATCCTTTGCCCACATATAAACTTATCAAATATATTAAGATGACTGGCTCATCTTCTCTCATCTCTCTGCTTATTGCCAAATACCTGGGAGAATTTTTGGTAACTTTTGAAAGCACATTTTTAATGTTATTTAGAATTTGATTCTGAAGTATACCATGTTG